GTGTTGATGATGTTTCTGATATCCTCTTTTCGCAGATTATTTACTTTCTCACAATAAGGAGTTGTGACAAGGATGCCATCACCGTTCAGGAGGAGGGTCTGAAGATGAGGTGATTTCAAACTCGAAAGATCTTCCAGTGCGCTTTTTTCCCTTTTAAAACAAGACAAATAATCTTTGCTTTTTGCTATTTTCACGACCACTGTTTCCTTTTCATCACGCTTTCCTAAATATACGGTGCTAGTCCTTCCTGCACTGATCGGTTGAATCAGTCTTACAGTTTCTAAACCGAAGGAGAGAGATGGATCGACCCATCCAAGCTGTTCCTTAGAGCATTCCGTAATAGTCACAAGGTATTTCCACCCTGGTGAAGGGGTATCCTTGGTTTCATAAGTTAACTTCGCCACTGGTATGGATTGATACGAGAATTGGATATTGTCACTGGTATCAATATCGCGCCTAGTCACCTTGTAAATACAAATATCTCTGCAATCTGTCAACACCACATATACATTGGCTCTCCTCGGCTGAAGTTGGAGTACCTTTTCACCAAATGATACTGCGTGTCCTACATCGGCATTTGTAAAATCATTCCCTGACCGTTTCCTTATTTCGCCAACGGCGACAACATGTAATGCATTTAGAGGATCCCCTTTTGCAATGAATACAAAGTCGGGCTTTCGAGTAGCCAGCAAGGGAATAGAATGCGAATCTTGAACTTCAAGTTGTGAATTCCCGAATGCTCGGAATGTTTTGCATTCGCTAATAAAATATTCTTGTAAGATTTCTTCTGAGACCTGGGGGTCAGGCGGGCTTTTAAACTTTCCAGGTTCTCTTCTTCGGGTCATCGCGGTCAGTTGAAATGGGAAACTAATAGGAGAAGCATGTTCTTTCACATAACATCCTTTCTCAGTTTCTGTTGCGGTAGCTAAACACAAATATCAAGTGGTGTTTCCAGGAAAGTGATGGATTGTACGGACCAGATTGGCGACATACCTGGAGCACTAAGCCAGATTTCACTGTGAAGTCGTACTTTCTTTACTTGATGATGTACTCCTTCTATTTCATGGTCCATTCCTTCTATTTTATGGTCCATTCCTTCTATTTTATGGTCCATTCCTTCTATTTTATGGTTCATTCCTTCTATTTTATGATATATTTGTTCGAATTGTCTCTTCAGGGCCGGTGCTAACTCTGTTTTTGTAAGCAAGATAAAGAAGGTGTTAAGATAATGAGAATGGAACAACGGCTATCAAAAAGTTAAGTCATGTCGCGTTCATTTGCGCTGACTAAATTTATTACGACTCACCAGTTTCAACGCGTTCTGCGATAACATGAATGTGTTTTTTTTGGGGGGGTGTTAGACAATAAGAAGCAGGAAAGAAAAGCACACGTTAGTCAACGTCGAAAACAGTATACCAAAATACAACGACAGTGAGGGAATTTAATGTGTGGCGTGAGCAGTAAGCAAGAAAAGCTAGGATAATTAATTACCAGCAGGAACCTCAACGATTACATGGATATGCTCGTCAAGAGGCTCATTGTCGTTGGAAAAATAGTGGCCGACCTTTTTTATTGGTAATAACTCGATGCTATTTTGTGTGGGTTGTCGCTGAAGCAACTCATCTTGATCGGCAGAGATGTTTACCCTCCACAGCCTTAGGTTTTTGGCGTCAACGTGGGCAAAGTCGACGGCATTCTCCGCCTTGATGGCTTTCTTGAGATCACCAACTATCTCTTCCCTGCTGATATTAACTGGAAAGGCGTGCTGGACGGCAGGAGTCTTTCCTTTTTCTAAGCAAAGGAGTTTTATCGACATATTTGGTTTTTAGATGTACTTGTACAACTGTAGTATGGACGGACAAGAAGTTCGAAAAAGGTTTTTCGTCAATTTTTGGGCGATATGTGTGAGATTCGGTTGCACAAACTTGATTTGTCCCTGATTGATGACACATATGGTCACATGATTGACCACTGGGATTTTTGATAATTTCCAACTGTAGAAAATGCCTAAATACAAGATAAAAGCTTGTACCTAGCATGACTGCATGGGAGGGAAAACTGGTGCACCAGTGAAAGTCAGCTCCAAAGCTTGCCCGAAGGCGATGACTACCCCCTATTCTCTCGTCCTGCCTAATAAATTCTATGGTTTCATCCGCGGGATTACGGGTTAAACGTTTGTGAAATTTCCGGATAGTCGCATCTCCA